ACTGAAGAAAGGAATAATAATAAATAAAAACCATAAAAAACGTGGCTCTTGCTGCAAACGCGCCCGTCTCTCTCGCCAAATGGTGGGCGTTTGCAGAGGCTCTAAAATTTGGTTCCAGTCCAATTAAGCGACAAAAGCAGCGAAATATATAAGGTACAAATGGGGCCGCTGGGGAAGTACCATGCCAGAGGTGGCTTCAAAATTTTTAAATGTTTCTTCTCGCAATGGGGTCACATGACATTCAAATTTTAAGATGGTTAACATAAATAACTGCACGTGACAAAATTCTCGTCACGTATAATCTTGAAATACACGTATATCAGACTAACTCTTGATTAAAGAGCTATATTTTAATTTCTCTCTCTTCTATATAAAATATAAAAACAATATACTATGAGTTAGCTCATAAGTTATCATTAGAGTTGCTCTAAAAATATAATAGATTAAAAAAGATATTTTGTTCTTCCATCTACCTATATCCATGTGCCATCCTAAATAGTATAGATAAAAGAGGAAAATCGGCGTTGTTATAGAGCGGATCGGTACGATTAACGTTTTGGTACGTGGCTTAAATAAGCGATTCGTAAATTTTCCGGTAGAACGGTATTTTCTCTCATACAAACCAGGTCGTTGATTACTTCTTCACGAACCCGACCTTGAAGCTTGAACCAACCAACAGAAACAGGTGAGAACTATCAATACATTAACATTTTACCCGCTAGATATAATTTTGCGTTCGGGTGACCAAGAAAATTCAATCGTGGCAATTTGAAAAGCACCAGTAAGCTACTGATATTTTGTGAGAGAAAAAATACTATTCCGGCTGAAAAAGAAGCGGATCAAAAAGCCAGGTTTAGGGTCAGCCGAACGCAGCCGTAAACAACAACCTAGCTAATACACTGTGTTAGCCATCTTATTTAGCTGAGAGTTGATCCAAATAGAGCCTATGTGTGTATAAGAAACATTGCTTTCTGGAACCTAAGGCGCTACACTACACGTGCCATTGAAACAAGTTCTTTCCATTGTCAAATAGACACAAAATAAAAAAGTTGGAGTCCGCATGATCTCCAACACCGGCGAAATAAACTAATGCAATAAATTAGAGCCATACAAACAACAGGATATAGGACCATTCCTCTGTATACATTTGCTTCACTTTCCTGCTCCAACTACCAATACGGGAGAATCCATAGAACTGCCCTTGCTAAAGAAAGTAGAGCCTAAGTCATCAATCTCTATATAGAATATACACAAAGATAATGCAGGGACAAAATACTCTAACTCTACTAACTAATACCATAGTTTTCTTCTGGTAATGCAGGAGACAAATTAGGGTTCA